TTTTTTTTTTTAAAAAAAAAAATAGGTGTGATTAAGAAGAGAGGTGTTTTGGCACCTTATACACCAGAAATTATTAATCCTATTATTGCAGAATTAGAAAAGGAAGGAATTAAAGTCAAAGAAGAAAAGTTATAAATTTATTTTGCATTTTAAAATATACATGTGTAGGAAAAAAGTGTGATGTAAATAATTAATAAAACTTCTTTTTTTATTTGTACGTAAATTTTAAAAATAATTTGAATTTCTTACAACTATCATTTGTTTAAAATAACTAATATTTTAATCTAAAATACTTTTTAGCATGAGCACGGATGGTTTTTAAGACTCAAATTTAATTAATATGTAAAAATGAAAATAAAAATAAATAATGACAATTAAAAATAACCCAATTAATAACCGATTAACAACAAAAAAAACGATAATAATATACTTTAAATTGTTTCATTAAACATATTATCTATCTCTCTAATTAACCCATCCAAAAATGCTTGATCCGTACATTTAAGTTCAACCTTTATATTGAATTTAGCATTATCATTGCCCGATTCATCAATAAAAAATTTTGCTAATCCTGCAATTTGATACCCTTGTACACCTGTCTCTTATACACATCTAGATGTGTATAAGAGACAGCCCCAAAACAAAATATTTTTTTTTTTTTTTTTTAAAAAAAAAAAAAAAAAAAGAAAAATTTTGTTACTTGGCTCTGGTTTCGTTGCTGGTCCCACAGTAGAATATATTTTACGGAGACCAGAAAATCATTTGACTATCGGTATATTATTTATTTGAATCAATAATTTATAATTTTTTTTTTATTTTAAAAAAATTCTAATTTTTTTTAAAATTTGAATTTGAATTTAGCGTGTAGACGTATTGCAGCTGCTGAAGCTCTTGCCAAACAATTTTCTCGAGCAAAATCAGAATCAATAGATGTTACAAATGAGGGAGCACTAGATGAGATTGTTTCACGTCATGATCTGGTTATTAGGTGATATACTTTCTTATACTGTCCACGATATTTTTTTACATGTACATATTAACAATATTTTTTTTTCTTTAGTTTGATCCCATATACAAATCATCCATTGGTTCTAAAATCTGCAATTAAATTCGGAAAAAATGTGGTCACAACTAGTTATGTCTCTCCTGCTATGAGAGAATTTCATGATGCGTAAGATTCCTTTTTCTTTCATCACGATTCATTTTCATTTTTAAGCTCAATAATTTATAATTATTTATTTATATAGTGCTATAGAAAAAAATTTGACCATATTAAATGAAATTGGTCTCGATCCTGGTAATTATACGAAATAATAAATAGAAATGTTTTTTTTCTTAACTTAATCATATATTCTTTTTCGTGTTTTTTTAGGTATTGATCATTTATATGCGGTGAAGACAATAAATGAAGTTCACGAAGCTGATGGAGAAGTAAGAATTTAATTGAATATTATTATTATTGTTGTTATTTTATGTGTGATAAGCCCTTTAATATTTTTTTTTTATTTTTAGATTATATCCTTCATTTCTTATTGTGGTGGTTTACCAGCTCCAGAATGTTCTAATAATCCTCTTGGATATAAATTTAGTTGGTCATCTCGTGGTGTTTTATTGGCATTACGAAACAGTGCTAAATTTTATCAAGATGGAAAGGTGAATATAATTAAAATTAAAAAAAAAACTTTTTAATTATACAATTTAAATTCATTTATTTAACATGATTTTAGATTGTTGAAATTCCTGGAACTGAATTAATGTCATCTGCGAAACCATATTTTATATATCCAGCTTTTGCTTTTCTATGTTACGCTAATCGGGATTCTACACCTTTTAAAGAATATTATAATATTCCAGAAGCTCAAAATATTGTTAGAGGTACATTAAGATATCAAGGTTTTACGGATTTCGTTAAAGTATTAGTTAAGATTGGTTTATTAGATGATTCAAATCAAAATTATTTGCATTTCAATTCACCGGAAATTACTTGGGTTCGTATATAAATAAATATTTCTTTTATATTTTTTTTTCTAAATTATTTAAATTAAATCCCCCAAATATATATATTTATTTATTTAGAGAGAAGTTATTGCCAAAGTGCTTAATACATCAAACAATACAGAAGAGTAATTAAATCAATTGAATTTATTTGCTTGTTTATCCCGGAAAAAATAATCGTTCTAATAACTAAAAATTAATAATTTCAGTGAATTAAGGAAAGCTATCAAATCCACTATAGCAGAAAATGAAATAAGCAAAGATGAAATTGAAAGAATTCTTAAAGGATTTAAATGGCTTGGATTATTTTCAGATAAACCAATTCGTCGTTGTGGTACATTACTTGATACTTTGTGTGCTACATTAGAGGAAAAAATGCAATATGAAGAAGGAGAACGTGATATGGTTATCCTTCAACATAAATTTGAAATTAAATTAAAAGATGGCACAAGGGTATGTACTTATGTACTTATTAAATATATACATGCGTGTAAGTTGTATATCTTGTTTTATAAATTTTGTTTGTCCTTTAGGAAACTTGGACATCGACATTATTGGAATATGGAAAACCACCAGGACCATCCGCAATGTCTACATTGGTTGGGATACCATGTGGTATTGCTGTTCAATTAATATTAGATGGTAATTTTTTAACAATTTTTATGTATATAAAAATGAAATGCAGTTAATTAAAATTTTTTTTTTTAAAAAAAAAAATAGGTGTGATTAAGAAGAGAGGTGTTTTGGCACCTTATACACCAGAAATTATTAATCCTATTATTGCAGAATTAGAAAAGGAAGGAATTAAAGTCAAAGAAGAAAAGTTATAAATTTATTTTGCATTTTAAAATATACATGTGTAGGAAAAAAGTGTGATGTAAATAATTAATAAAACTTCTTTTTTTATTTGTACGTAAATTTTAAAAATAATTTGAATTTCTTACAACTATCATTTGTTTAAAATAACTAATATTTTAATCTAAAATACTTTTTAGCATGAGCACGGATGGTTTTTAAGACTCAAATTTAATTAATATGTAAAAATGAAAATAAAAATAAATAATGACAATTAAAAATAACCCAATTAATAACCGATTAACAACAAAAAAAACGATAATAATATACTTTAAATTGTTTCATTAAACATATTATCTATCTCTCTAATTAACCCATCCAAAAATGCTTGATCCGTACATTTAAGTTCAACCTTTATATTGAATTTAGCATTATCATTGCCCGATTCATCAATAAAAAATTTTGCTAATCCTGCAATTTGATACCCTTGTACACTTTTACCATAAACAGTTATTGCGGAAGATACTACTTCAACTACATGTGTTCCAGTTGCTATAGTTGTTAATCTTATTGATTCGTCTTGAAACATTTGTTCAAAAGTACGATCACTTGGATTTAATTGAATTAGAGTTGTAGCAGAGAAAGGGAAACTTGATGTTTGTGAGACAGTTGTTTTAAATTGTTCTGGAGTAATTTTAGGAATATTAAGCATAAATATTGATAACGGTAATTCAAGTTTGATAGGTATATTGTGATTTGTCGGTTCTTCTTCATCCGATGACTAAAGGCATAAAAGTTAGAATTTTTTTTTTTTTGGATTAGCAAATATAAAGATTTTAAATTACCTGTGTTGAGTAAGCTAAATTTCCTGTTACGCTTAAACCCACACCTACTATTCCCAAAACTCTAAACTCAATAGTCATCTCTCTTTGTTCTTCACTTTGTAATTCACCCACTTCTAATAATGCATTATCAAATTGAATGTCCGATGTGGATTCAAAAGTAAATGATAATTCGGTTAAACTTTTATTTGATACATTGCTTCGAATAGTGAAATCAGCGATAAGAGTAGGTGGTTCATTTGTAATTTCAGTTGTTGTTCCTAAATGTAATATATAAGACTAAAAAAAGGGTTAAATTAACATTGAAAAGATTTAAGGCACAGTAAAAAACTTCCGACTTGTTAGTTGCCAAATAAATCAATAAAAAAAACCTACAATATATAAATCGTCTGTATCTAACAAAGTCTTGGCTGTCGTTCTTTTGATTCCATTCGATTCACTCATATTTTGGATGTTTTCAGATGTTTCGGATATTTCTTGTTCAGAAACCAACTTCTTCTTTGATTTCTTGAACATTAAAGAAAAACAATAAATTAAAAAAAAAATTTTTTTATTATAGGCAATTTAAAAATTCACGATAAGATAAAATACCTTCTGACTAGTTTTCTTACTCTTTTTCTTGGGGTTTGTTTCTTCTGTATTCTTTTTCTTTGAAACCTTCTTCTTTTTATTAGGTTCCTCCTCCTTAGTTTTTGATACAGACTTTGATGATGTCTTTGTTGTAGTTTTTGAAGAACCAGATTTTGACTTGGGTTTTTCACTCTGAAAAAATTAACTTATAACTCAATCTATATATTTTTTTTCAAGTAGATATTTTATTTCTTACCTTGTTTTTATTAAAACGAGCTTCTTCCGCCATTTTAGCTCTTCTTTCTTCTAATAATTTTCTCGATCTCTCCTCCTCTCTTCTCCTTACTTCTTCGGGACTTAAATAAATCGCCATTTGTGGGAAATGTTCATCCTCTCTTAAGGGAGTCGATAAATCAACACTAGATACACCAGAATAATCAAGATCTAGAATACCCTTATTTTTTTCCGACATATTCCAAGTTGATTGACGAATATTATTACTCTTAGAATCTTTTTCATCATCAGATAAAGTAGCATTCTCTGGCATTTCACCAACGTCAGTATAAATAACCGGAGGTATTGATGGTGGTGAAGGCGATCGTCGATTCTCTTTTTTGCTTCCTTTTGACTTTCTCGATTTTCCAGAATATCTTTTTGCTAAAAAAAATAGAACCAAAAATTTAATACAATAAGTTGATATACAAACTAAAAAGAAAAAGAAAAATATGTAACGAATGTCTAACATTTGAAATCGAAATCATCCATAGTTAAACGAACCACCGGTATTGAATCTACATCAATTTCTTCGGTTTTACGTGAAGATAATCCATCAGATCTTCCATCAGATCTTGATCTTTTTAATGGACTTTTATCATCAACATTAATATAATATGGATCATTCTTGATACGTTCTCTTCGTTCGTTGCGACGCTACAATTTATAATGAGGTATGATGTATAAAATAATATTTAATATCAAAAAGAATTGTATTAATCGTGTTACATACTTTTTCACGAATTTCTTCATTATCTTCACTTTCATATCCATTTTTCCTTCCATTTTTTCTTCTTCTTCTTCTACCGACAGTGGCACCATTGCCATCTGAAAATATTAAATCTCCACTTCCACCAAATGTTTGACCATAACCATATCCATAACTTTCCTCCTCTTCTTCACTCTCATTATTTTCTGATTCAGGTAATGGTTCATTAATCCAAGCGTCTAAATCAAGTCCCTCCGGTACAGGAACTTTCTTTTGCGCTTTAGGAGCGACAGGATTAAGCTCAAAAGAGAAGAAAAGAGGTGAAATCTCAGTAATTATTGCAGGGGCTTTCTGGGAAGAATAACCATTTTCTTTTAAATCATTCTCTTCATTAATCAAATTTTGATGGATAATAGAAAATATTTCGCGTGTATTATATGCCTAATAAATAATGATAGCATGAACTAATATTTTAGGTATCAATGAGATTTAAAGAAATAAATTTATCTTATTACACATAATTAATATTGAAAATTAATATACCCTTTCTTGCACCTCCAAATCTGTACAAGAACTAAACATTCCAATTTTATCCTTCAATTTAGCAGTTATCTGTATTAATTCTTGTTTAGCATCATCATCCCAATTGTAAACAAGACTATTTGCCCAATATGCATAGATTTTCAAGACCGCGTGAACATACACAGCTTGAACATTATGCGAAAGCTTGGTAACGCCAGGTTGAACAAGAAATTCTATTGTCTCGATCGGCTTTTCCAAATAACTATAAATAAATAAATCGTTAAATAAAAAGTGTTGCAATTATTTATAATATAAGTTATATAATAAACCTGCAATATTCTCCAGAGATCCATGCCGCGGCGTAAAGTACTTCGGCATTTGAATCCGGTAGCTTACAATTTTCTAAAAGATTTGCATCCGAAATCAATCGTTGCTAAAGAATAAATAAATTATTAATATAATTAAATTTTTTAATTAAATAAATATAAATCCTACTAAAACTACCTACCATAGTCTTAACACAATATTGTCGTACACTTTTAACACGAACACCAACATCCATTATTTGTTGAGTTAATATTTCACCAACCTTTACTCCACTTACGTAAGTCAAATCAACCAAGACAGCAATGTACCATTCAAAATTCGTGATATTACTATAAGAATTTTGTGAGCATATGTATATTACACGATTTATAATATCAGACCGGTAAGCGGGTTCAAGTAGTGTTGATGGAGGTGGATAACTTGTTGTGGGATCAGAATTACTTGATGGTAAAAGGTGAGACATTAGACGTTTGACAATGTCCGTACAATTTTTTTTGTTAACCTTTTTAATATAGAAATAATAAGTAAGTAAACATTATATAAACATAAATGATTTTCCAAATTATTTCTTACCATGCCAACAACTAAATCTAAAGCGCGTAATCTAATACTAATATCAGGATCATCAATACATTTTAAAATGATATCTTTATGTTCTGAAACTAATTTTGGATGAGTTGGCAGAATTTTAGCTAATGCCAAAAGTCCAACATATTTCACTTGACAGAACAAAGTAAAACAAAATTTAGAATTTAATAATTCTATCACACAAAATAATAACACATATTGTTATATATATACATACGGTTTTGATCTGTATCCTCCAGAAATATTCTCAACTTATTTACACACATAGCAGCCAATGAATCGGAATTTCCACCCAAATTCAGCATTCCACCCGTTATGACTGTATGTATACATTCGTATAACAGTGACATGGCATGTGTTGTCTGGATATGTTGTGTAATTGGTGGTAATAATTTTTTTGCGAGTCTAGGTTCAAGTGGGGTTAATGCTCCAAACTGAAAAAAATTTTGTATTTATTTATATTGTTGAATAATTGTTGAATACATAAATTAAAATGTTATTTAAAATCTTCGATATATTACCAATTTAATAATCTTAATAAGCATCCAATTATTTGTCGATGTATTTAATATACTGAACAATTGTGGAGCAAGTGATAAATAATTTTTTGGATTCTTCCTTGCCAATTCACATATTACATTTACAACAGCACATGCAACCGCTTTGAAGTATAATAAATAAAAAAAATAATAATTATTAATAATTTTAAAATCATACAAAATATCAAATTCAACATACATGGATCAGGATCATCTAGTTTCTCTTTTAATCTTGGAAAACTTAATCTCAGAGCTTCGGGAAATTTAAGGAAAAGTTTATATAAAACGAGAACAACTTTCTTCCTCACATAAGGACGAGAATGGTTAAGCATTGAAACCAAATCTTGACATAAATCACGAGCAAGGTCTGGTGTTACTATATGAGCTAAGCCATTAAGTGCAACTCCTACTTCAAGATGATTTCCTGAAGCAAGATCCTATTAAATTAAACACATTATTTACTAAGCTTATTTTCGATCATTAAAAAACAATAAATTTTTTACCTTTTTCAAAAGATTTGTTGTTAACATTAACACATCAGTATCCTGTCGAAATGATTGTGTAGCAGCTAAGTATCCTATTCGTTTCTGAAGGAATTTTGCCGAGGACATAACTTCAACAACATGAAATGACGCCCAAGACATATCATATCCGAGCATTTGAAGCTACAGGCAGAAATCAAGAAATAACTTAGTATGTTTAATAAGCTATGAGCAAAGAATTCTTGATTTAAAAAACTTTTTTCTTTTAAATCAAAAACATGCTCACGAAAAAAAACTTTAATTCACGAGTTTAACGAACTCACTATGACAACTTGACCGAACGTACATAAGTTAACTTCGAAATAGCTACTGCTTTTACGTCAGGGTCATTACTTTTAACCTCTTGACGAATTTCTTGTAGGCAAGCAGCAATATATTTTTGCTCATTTTTCTTATTAGTGCGAATACCGCGAATTAAGTCTGTTAATGTCTTTTCAAACATTTCAAGGTTAAAAAAAGGATAACTAATCAATTACACCATCTAATAACTTTTTTCCATTTTGCCAATCAGGACTTAAATCTTGGATCATTTATTTGTCACATTCCTGTATTGTGATAATTAATGCAGTTCGCGGTTAATCATTAACATCAGGGATGAATGGTGTAACATTCAAACGGGCATGATCCTGCATAAAAGTTTTTTCGCAGATCTTTCCTCCTCGATATCTTTTTAATTATAAAATTATAATCCTTTGGTTGATAAATTAAAGCCTTCACGTAAATTTAAATTATGTCAACAGTCTTAATAGGAAAAATACTGGGATGGATAGGCTTTATTACACTTATTCATTCCACATATTCTACTTATGAACGTATGTTTTTTAAAAACGAGATCTTTTATTAAAACAAACTGGAGAAATCATTAAATTAATCTATGTTTTTTTTAGATCTGTCGTATCTAAAAGCTGTTGAAAAGGCAAATGATATGCCAATTGAGGTATTTTTGCATAGTGTTTTATAATAAGCATTTATTTAAATCTCGATTAAAAATTAATTTTTATTTATCAAATAGATTACAGTCGAATGTCTTTTTTCTGTAATAATCTTTGCAATTAGTGTAATATTAGTAGCGGGTCCTTTAAAACCAATATTAATGAAAAGCGAAATGGTGAAAAAGTAATTAGACTTTGATTTATAACTTTTTTATATATTTTTATTATATTGATTATTAACTAATTTTTTTAAAAAAATACTATTTTATTTTCTCTCAAAAGGTCCATTGACAAAGTTGATACGCGCCCTTCCTTCAATACTTTTAATCATCGAGGTAGGATAATTAAATCATCATTGGATATAAAATAATATTTACTATAATCTTTTCTCTTAATAAAATTTTTGAAGATAAATTTTTATGTATGAACATTAATAATTAGCGATAATTGTTTTTGTTACAAGAGATAGGATTGAGTTATTTAAATAATTAAAAAAACTAAAAAGAAAAAAAGAAAAAGAAAGTAATCAAACCTAATAAATAAAAAATACTATTCATCTGAACTACTACTTCCATGTTTAAGAAATTCTGATAACCGCACAGGAGTATCTCCTCTATGCTCTTCATGAATCTTATGTTTATTCTTGTGTTTCTTTTAATAAAATAAACAAGATTAATATTATTAAAAATTTTAAAATTTAAGAAAAAAAACCAACCTTATGAGAATGCCGATGATGATGATGATGGTGGCGATGATGATGCTTCTTATCTTCATCGGCCATTTTATCTTCAGAATCTGCTGCAGATTCATAAGCACCTGATTCTATGCTACTACTCTTACGTTTTAAGCGTTTATCATGTTTTTTCCGATCATGGTGTTTATGCTAATTATTAAATAAAACCCATGCGAGAAAAGCTTCGTTAGAATTATGAACTAAGAAATGGCCTACAAATTTTCTTACGAGAATGAAAAAACTTTTTTTTGATAACAACCTTCTCTGCACGCTCGCCTCTAACTTTTTCATCTGTTCGATGTTGATTACGCTTCTCATAATTTTCATCATCTTCATCGCTTCTATAATATTCATCTTCACTAAAATTTCTTCTTTCGACGGGACTTCTAGTAGGACTTTCTTCACTTTTACTTCGTCTTCTTTTATGATCACGATCACGATTACGATCACGAGAGGAAGAACGATGACGATAATGATTATGTTTTTTTCTTTTCTTTTTATTTAAAGAACTACCTAATCCTTTTAGTTTGGCTTCTCTTTCTTCATCCAATTTTTTTCGATATTTAGCTAGGTCATATTCCGAAAATTGTGGACCATCAACTTCTGATTTTAATTTACGAAATTCGTCCCTCGAAGAAAAGAAAAATTAAAATAGCAAACCAACAATATAAGGCAAGATTGGGTTGCAATAAGGGACACAGAATGAGTAACTTAATGAAAAATTGTTTTATTGGAAAAAAGAGAAACATGGATTGTTACCATGTCATTCCTCCTTTTTTGCGAGCATCAATGTATTCGCGTATTGTTCCACCTCGTTCATTGTTTGCCATATTCCATATGGTTATAAAAAAAAAATCACAATAGACGATGGGAGAAAAACCGTTGATTTTCCAAACACATGATCATGGAATATCAAAGAATATCTGATTTGCGAAATGTTTTGCGGGCCGTGCAATTGTGCATGATGTTACTTTGTTAATGCGATTTTATTGGTCAGTTAAATTAAAATAATTTAAAAGGTACAGCATTTTAATTATGAAAAATGTAATTTTATATAATGTAACAAAACAACAATGGAAATAAAAGTTTTTTTATAATACAAAAAATAAATAAAGCAATGATTATTAAAGAAAAAGAGAGGAATACTACTGTTTCTGAATTTATATAGGATCACATTTACGATCATAATTTAGAGGATAAGGGAATATATGCATGAAATTAACTATCGTAGTTGAACAAGATCTAATACCTCTTGCTCTTAAAGAGATAAGAGGAAAGAGAATAACTAAATAACTGAATAATGAAAGATGAATAGAATCATGTTAAAAACTTACAACAATATAATGTGAAGGGGTATACCGTAAGAAGAAAAAGCATAATACTATAAAACCCATAAGAAATAACAAACCAATTAATACAAAAAAATAAAAAATATGAATAAATAAGTAAAATGTCAATATATATATAAAATTAGGAGCAAGAGGAAAAGTTAGCATAATAATTAAACTACATAATATAATGATGCATGATTATAAAGGATTTGGATCAAACACGGTAATAATGTTATGAAATGGTCCTTTTTTTATCGCAATTTTCTAAAAACCAATTCTATTATTTTTTTTTTTTTCAAATAAAAAGAAAATTTGCATCAAAAAGATCTATTAAATAATAACATATAATAATTCAAATATAAATATATATTATTTTTCCTTTATATTTTATACAATGTAATATTAAAAGAGAGGTACATTGCCTTTCCGGAAGGAACGTAACTCACATGTAAAAGTAAAAAATTTTTTTTTGAAGGGGGACTGGAGGAGTTACGACCTTTTTGAAAGGATGCACCCTCCCTTTATGACCAATTCCCTGATGTCATTACTAGTAAAGAAGATACAATAATATTGAGCTTATGCAAGAGAGAATGTGTAATACAATATAAAATGTTGTTGGTGAAGAAAAAATTAAAAAAAATATTATTAATAAACCCATTGAACTAATATATTACCAAACGGGACTTTTTTTTTACATAATTATACAAGTACAGCCACCGCAACCACCACCGGATGGTGCGTAAGGATCATCTCGTTTATCAACTGGTCCCCAAACAGATGGTACTAGGAAGTCCCTAGTATTCTTACAATATCGGATTAAACTACGTTCCAGTGGGCGATAAATTAAAACGATTAGTTACGAAATAATTGATATATGTTCCATCCCCGCTAATACTATCTCGAAGCAATTCAATTATACCTCCACCCAGATAATTATCCTACCTAGTACTAGCTTCACTAACTCGTACTCGGGGACGATCTAGATCCTCACGAAGTCTTTGATTAAGTTCCACCAGCCGGCGATATTTCGTTTCTTGCATTCCAATCTGTTTATGTCTATGCATTATATGTATTTATTTATATGTAGACGGTGTATGTTATGGTATAAGGGGTAATGGTATAATTGATATTATCGAATTTAATGTCTATAAACCATTAAAGAAAAAAAATGTATTGTTAATATGAGTGAAGTATAAAAGTCTATAATAATAAAGATTCCAAAGAATAAATTATCTCTTGATCGTAATGAAAGATGTAGAGATCTAACGGAAAACCCTGTGTAACATATACTTTGCGAAATAGAAAAGATTTAAACAAGTTTAATAAAGATAATTAAAGTAGAAATAAAACTAACCAATCTTTTTTTTTATTTCACTTTCAAATACTTTTAATAAGATTATGGTCCAACAACAACAAAAAAATTTTAAAGTTTATGAAAAAATAAACAATCCTTTTAATTATTCTTTTAGTTTTAAATAAGATCTAAATTGCTGTATATCTTCTTTAAAGGAGAAAAAACTCACCAGGAAGGAATGTGGTAGGCCGTGGAAAATAAAGAAAGCAAGAAAACAAAAAAAAGTACGAAAGTAGGGTTTACAATACAAACAAGATTTTGGATTGACAGCAAAAAATGACCACTAATTTCCGGTGGTTCAATCAATATGGGTTGGACCATTTTAAAAAGCTATACAATTGCAGTTATATCAGCACTCGTATTACCATGGTGTAATTCAAAATTTTGTGTTCTCCTTATTAAGAATTGTTCATCGGAGTTCAATTGTGTCACAACGAATAGGCAAGTTTATAAGTGGTTCGTTTGTTTATTATGTTACAAAGAACTACAACTACAACCTAGTACTAATAAAGTGACAAACAAATCTATTCTTTTAAATTCCAAATGAGGAATTCCACATGTAAAAAAATCCGCGGGAATAATTCCCGGATGTGCAATTAAATATATATCTTTTTTGTTAATGAAATAATGAATTTTTGACTTAAAAAATAATGAATGAAGATAATGAAAAAATCAAGATATACAAACAAAACAAGATTTGCGAGACCCTAATTACAAATTTTTATTAGTTTAAAATTATAAAAAGCAAAACTAGAAGTATTATTAGTTTTAATATTTATAATATAAATATTTAGGTGATAGTATAATAGTGACCGACCGAGCACATAAGGTATTATGTAATTTACGCAATTTGAAAGGTCTCACTAATCAACCTTCAATAGGTTCCCAAGAGAGAAAATTTTCCGAAAGAGACGCGACTTTTGTGTTTTTTAACGATTGTCATGTGATTTTAAAAAACTAATCATCGATTAAAGATAATCAAAATAAGATTTAATTTGACGCCAATATGCGCACAGAATGAAAATGGTACTACTTAAAACACCCTGAATTCAAAAAATTCTTAAGTTCCAACTTTTGTTCTTCCTTTTCATTTAACGTTTTATAATAGTTCATAATGTCACAATCTAAACCAAGTTCAAATGAGGGTGAAAGTAGTGGAAATGAATCTGCTATTCGTGTTACAATACCAAAAGTATATAAGTATCTGACAATAGTTCAAACAGGAACTGCCGTAGTTTTTGGCACTTTTCTTGTAACTCATTTGAGTGCACCAGCCTTATCTGTTATCGGCGGTATAGATTTAACAAATAAAACGATTGTATTTGGTAGAGTTTATTATCAAAATAAATTCCTAGAACCAATAGTAGTATTTGGAGCATTAATCGGACATGTAGCTGCTGGTATAGCAAAACGTAGTATTAAAATTTATTGGAAATATAAAAAACAAGATGCAATATTTCTTACAGGAGAAATTCATGAAAAAGTCGAAAGAATGACTACGGACGAAACGGATGAACGAGGAGTAGTTGTAAGACAAAAAATCAAGACTAAAACTACAAGAACCATCTCTGGTTCTTATATAACAAAAGCGTTGAGTTCGTTACTTCCAAGCCATCATACAATTGGTTATATCTTAATTCCTTTTGTATTTGGTCATTCTTATGTTAACCGTATTTTACCTAAACGTCATTTTGGTGATTCTTCTTTAATTAATGCTACTTATATTACACTTTGTCTTCGAAAATGGCCACGCTCTTCATATTTTGTTTTATCTGCTTTAATTGGTCTAACTGCTTATCATGTTACTAGTGGTGCCCCAGTTGCTTACAAAATATTGAGGGGTTGTTTGTCCAAGAAAAATGGCGAAAAACTTCAACCTGATTCTGTAAAAAAGAAAGACCGTCTTTTAAGAAATGGGTTGATTATCACATCAGTTGGTATATTAACTGCTGGATTACTTGTCATTGGTGGAAAATTTGGCAAGGATCCTAGAATTCCTTTACGTACTGAATATTTGAAAGTTTATGGTCAAATATATCCACAAAGTTGGGTAAGATATTAGATCATATGTTCTTAAAATAATAATAATATTCTATTTGTCATTATATATAAATAAATTATTACAGTACTATTAATTATTATATTGATGATGTAATGAATAATTCCTAAAGAATTTGTATAATAAAGTTTAATTAAATAATCCTTTCAGCTTCATAAAATAACATTAACCGAAGAAAATAATTCAAGTTAATTATTTTTCCAAAAAAAAAGAAAGAAAAAAAAAAATAGAAAAAAATTTATTTTCTTTAAAAATATTAAACTGTTCTTTACACATAATATTTCTTAATTAGCAAAATAAATGATATTAAAAGTTTTTTAAAGAGGAATTAAAAGTTTTTTCGTATGTATGATATTAAGGGAAATAGTACCGTTTAGCCTAACGGCATTGATTATAGTAATAAGACAATTATGCTTTACATATATTGAGATACCCAACGAAAACCTAAATGGAAAAAAGGTTTAAAATATAAGAAAAATAATACACAACATGAATCTTCCATACTTACCGTCACCATATCCTTGTCGCATAACGACGGAACACATGAAAACTTCAATAGGACGAATATCTTTTAACATGACTTTACCCTAATTATATTATGAATATTAGTACAAAATATTAAGAATACTCTTGAGAAAAAATATTAACCTTTCCAGTTGTTTGATACAATCCAAGTGCATGTCTCAATTCTTCTTCGGATACTGCACCAACTGCATCAATTTTATTTCCCAAGATTAGGAAAGGCACGGTTGAAAGTTCTTCAATAGAAAGAAGGGCCTATAAATCAAATTTTTGTTAATACAGAAATCCTAATCTAATTAATTGGGTCATTCGTAATTGTATATCCACTTACATCTAATTCAGTCTTACTTTCCGCAAATCGTTCACGGTCTACAGCATCTACCATAAACACAATACCAGACACTTCTGGGAAATAATCTTTCCAAAGACGGCGTGCTAAATTACAAAAAATCATAATTTGAGGACAAATTATATTTACTTGTACTTGATTAGTTGTACTACGCTAACTATTGAAATATATTTACCTTGTTGATGGCCACCAAGGTCGTAAGTTGTGAAACGGACGTTACCTATGGATAATTCCTCTGAGGCTATATTATTTATAAAATAAAAAAGAATTAGCCAATCCGATTAATTATATTTGAATTCATTAAATTACATGTTTTAATCGTCCTAATGGCATTTATTACGCAGCATCACCAATAATTTACTTACTAGGATGTAGCGTTGGCTGCAATGTAGCCAAACGATCATTTTTTAACATATGCAGTAAAGTCGTCTTTCCAGCATTGTCTAGGCCCAAGAATAAAATCTTTGCATTTTTATTAACAAGTCCTGTTAAGATATAAAGAAAGTTGATTTTTTTATAAATATGAAAAGTAAAAGAAGCTATTAAAAATTCGTCACTCTACATACCCAAAGTCGCTAAAACATCAAAAAACCAGTTAATGATAAACATATTTACTATAAGACTTTTCAAATCAAAAAAATTCGAAATTTATTAAGTCTCGTTCATTAAAATAGGGAGTTTTAAAGTTCAAAAAAAAAATGTCATATGAAGTAATAGGGAGGTAACAGACACTTGTCAATTTGTAATGGGATATTCACATGTAATTTATTAAAATTTGATCTACTGACGATCAATCGAAAATTATGATAACATATCATTTAATGGCGCAAATTTCGTGGTTAAAAAACATACTTTTTTTTCGCCTATATGATCTGACTGGAAAGGACCATATACTCCTAAAATAGATAAAACCAGATAAATAGTATATTTAATTGGCCAAACGTGTGAAAAATAACACATTACCTCTCTGTTAGTAAGAATATATTTGACAAGATTTGAAATGATTTTAGAGATATCCATTGTTTTAGAGATCGTTTCAATAAATTGAGAAAATAAATAAAGGAAAAAATTAACAGTTTATATAAAAAAATCCAAATTACTAAAATTAAAATTAGAAATTCAAAATCACTAAACAAATTAACTCACCAACTTAATCAACTCTCTGGCTAACCGTAAAGATTTAGTATCAATAAATTACAAATCAAAATAAAATTATATTTAATTATAAATTAAAAATCAATGAAAAAAAATTCACTAAATAAAGTAACTCGTCCAAACATAATTAACTTGATCATCTCTCTGATAACTAACCTCAACTCTCAACTCTCTGCTAACCGCAAAGATCTTGTATTAATTATTAAAATTAATAAAAATTATATTTAATGAGTGATTTTAACACTCACCGGTGGTGAAATTCACCCAAGGTAAAGTTCACCTATATTACATAATTTATTAAATTTAATAATTTTTTATTAATAAAAATATTTATATAAAATATATAGTTTAAATGTAATAATATATTATACAATAATTCATAAGTTAGTATTATTATAAAAAATGGAATAAATCCTACAAGTATTAAGTAGATTTTATACTGCTAAACAACTTTCAATTAATAAAGGAAGTAAATTTCATTTGACTAAAGTGGTGAAATTATGCTCTAAAGTTAGTAAATGGAAAAAAGAAAAATTCAAAAGTTAGTACCATGATGAAAAACATAGATTTCTCCATATGTATTATACCTATATGGCTATACCATAAAAATTAATATACAAGTAGTTTTGACCTTGCTGAACAATTTTCAATTAAGTTAGAAAGTCGATTTCATTTGACTAAAGTGGTGAAATTACACACTGAAGTTAATAAACAAAAAAAAAAAATTCAAAAGTTAGTACCGTTATAAAAAATGTAGATTTCTCTATATGTATTATACCTACACCCATTAAAATTAATATACAAGTAGTTTCGACCTTACTGAATAATTTTCAATTAATTTAGAAAGTCGATTTCATTTGACTAAAGTGGTGAAATTACGTGCTGAAGTTAATAAACAGAAAAAAAAACTTGAAAGTTAGTACCATTATGAAAAATGTAGATTTCTCCATATATATTATACCTACACCCATAAAAATTAATATATAAGTAATTTTGACCTTGCTAAACAATTTTTATTAATTTAGAAAGTTGATTTCATTTGACTAAAGTGGTGAAATTATGCTCTAAAGTTAGTAAACAGAAAAAAATTTTGAAAGTTAGTACCATTATAAAAAATGTTGATTTCTCCATATATATTATACCTATACCCATAAAAATTAATATACAAGTAGTTTCGACTTTGCTGAACAATTTTCAATTAATTTAGAAAGTCAATTTCATTTGACTAAAGTAGTGAAATTACACTTTGAAGTTAATAAATGAAAAAACAATTTTGAAAGTTAGTACCATTATGAAAAATATGGGTTTCTTTATAGGCAAAATGTAGTTGGCAACCTCAGTCACTATGGTGACCCCTAACTGATTAGCCAATAAAATTGATATAATACAAACAAAGTGTAACACGTGTAATAAATCACAATAAATATTGCTTGTAAATACATGTAATATATGACAGTTTGTAAATATCACGTCTTGTCATACATTTTATCATGCGCATCCTTTTTTTGTGTACCAGGTTTGTGGCAAAATGTGTAGCGCAGCTGTGCTACACCTCACACTGCCAACAATTCACATGACATAACCATCTCTTTTTCACCATCTCTTTCCTTTACATCTTGTTTTACTTTTTTATGAAGCTTTTGAAGCGCAATACATAAACCACATAGTTCAGAATATATATTTTTTATTTAAATTTTTTGTTTAGTTAATTAAATAACAAATAGTTTATTTCTAAAAGTATAGAAAACAATAATAACATAAGCTTTATCAAATTATATTATTATTGTATTAATTATTACATATCAATCAGTGAAAATTTCATTTCTCTCGTAATTATTAATAAATAATGATTTTTTATAATTTATATAACATAATTTTTTTTAAGTTGTATATTATAAAAACTTTATATATTTTGTTCTTTGGGGTCTATTTTACTTATTTAAATACTTTTTTTTATTAATATAATACTTATATAAAAAATTTATATTAAGCTAACTTTTATAATTTCAACCTTCAGATGCAACTTATTAGTAAAAGATAAGTATTATTTTTAAATATATAAATATATGTAATTTTTTATGAGGAATCAGGTTACTTAAGAAATAAAGCAGGTTTCTTAATAAATTTTATGGTAAATTCAAAATTTATGATTTTTGCAAAAATTAACCAATATTAAACTTAAAAAGTTTACATAAATAATTACCAATTTTTTTGTGTAAATATAATTTTAATTGCAAATTACATATTATAGTAAAATAATATTTTATATATTTATAACATTTATTAAATTTTATGATTTGACTAATTTTAAAAAGTCATTAATAGTAAAAGTATTTCAATAATCATCCAATTTTAATAAAATTTAATATATGATCACTTTTAAAGGTTATAAAACAGTATGCAAAATTTTAGTAGATATTATTATATAAAATATTTCAAAATATCAATCAGTATTTTACATATTAACTAAATGATCTGCATTTTTGTGTAACAGTAAATTTATTCAACGATTCTATAAATAACATATTCTCAAATTTTACATACTATTTTATAACCTTTTGAAATAATTGTACATTAAATTTTATTAAAATTGGATGATTATTGAAATACTTTTACTATTATCAACTTTTTAAAATTAGTCAAATTATAAAATTTGATAAATATTGTAAATATACTCTTTCAGACTCACTAATTTTATCAAAATTTTCTTCTTCTATCATGTTTACAAATAAATGGTAAAAGAAAAGTGTGATAATATTATGATATTGAAGTTTACAATTCTTTTAATCACTAAGAATAGGTAATATGAAGCTGAAAGATGCAACCCTTTAACGACTTCTTTTGTGAAATTTTTTTCAATAAGATTGTAAAAGCAGTCATGGAGTTTTACCTTTATTATTTAAGTTAAAGGCGTTACATTGTGTAAATATGGTGTTACATTTGACTCACATTTTTTCATTTTAACAAAATTTAGGCCGGCATTACGAATTTGGCCAAAATTAAGAAAAATTTGGCCAAAATTATGATTTATTGATTGGCGATTTTAATTGAAAAAACTAATTTTAGCCAACTTTTAACTATATATATATGCTATATAATTGAAGGCAATGCCACACTAAAATTTTTAGATTGGCAAACATATTAAAAAAAATTTGCTTTTAATTTTTGGGGACATTTTCAGTGACTGATATCTATATCTATATCTATATCTATATCTATATCTATACTATATAATAATTGTTTTTATGTGTAACCATAACATTTAAACTACTCTATATAAATAAATTTGAATTGCGTAATATTGCTCCTATTGGGCACTTTATCATGTGACATTATACCAACTTCCAAAAAAGGAAATTTTGCTTTCCACAAAAATAGGAGAATTTTGGTTTCACAAATACTCCATAAAAGGAAATTTCTGCACCGATCACATAATTCTGGCCAGAATTAATTATTACATGCAGGTCACGCTTTTTTTATATGTATGTATACTGTTGCAAAACAACAGATTAACGGCTAGTATAAATATATTACAAAATTTTATTGATTTACATCCGATTTGTTAAAATATTTTCTTGTTACTAAATTTATTACCATCGTTATTTTTTTTAGATTTTAGTTTGAAATTCATTACCTGATCTTTTAAAATTAGCCCTTCCATCAGGATACTCATATCTAATCAAAAAGTTTAATCAGCTACCATCATATCAAACTTTTGAGAATTTTTTAATCCCGCAATTTGAATTAGAAGCCTTTGTAAATATCACTGACAAAGAAAAGGCTCATGAATGGTTTCAAGCATTCGAATCTCATTCTAAAATAACTATGCCACAAACAAAGGGATACAGAGTAAAGGGAAAAAAAGTGCTTTTAAGAGAAAAATGACATTGTATACATGGAAATGATGTTAAAAAAAATAAGGTAATTGTGAAACTAAACTTACACATTCATCATCTAGAATACGAAATGTCCATTGTAGTGCAAGCATCAAAATTCAGCTAGAAAATTGGCGTCTTGAATTACATAGCCATCCACTAGAAATCAACTTTAGATTCACGCACAATCATGTGATAGATTCATCTGAATCTTTAAGTTTTCAGCATGTTAAAGAAGAAGTGCATGAAAGATTTCTAGAGTTGTTTAGAGATGGGTATTCACCAGTCTCAGCGATATATACTTATAAAGATGGACTCCACATTACAGAAAGTGATCAAGAGTTACTTGAAATACTTGCAGATCGAGCTATAAACCCAGACTATGGTTATGTCATTAGACTTTCTACAAGTACCGTAATAATGCTCTCAAAAGTCATAATGGCAAGAAAATATTCGAACGTCTAACAGAAGTAATTGACAATTATAACAGTTCAAATAATGACAGAGCAATTATGCAAGAGTATGATGTGCAAGCCGGAAAGGTATTCATTCTTTACATTATGACCAGTTTAATATGCCGTATTCACGAAAAATTCTGCAAGCTGAGAACTTTGCTATGTAGACTCCTCTGCTTCATTCGACTCTTTAAACACCTCAATTATACTTTTGTACATGAGCTATGCAGCAGGTGCATTACCGCTTGGAGTATTAATTACATTAGATGAATTAGAGATAACATTGGAAAAGGGAGTAGATAATTTTCCTATAATTCTTTTACCGACAATTATAATTTTTTTATAATAATAATATTCTTAACGATTAGTTTAACTTACTAAAGAATATTCTTTCCCACATACATTCTATGGACGAGGACCTCAAGTCAGACCTATGGTATTCTTTACAGATGACTCAAGTGCAGAATGAAACGCTTTAGAGCTCTGTTAGCCGCAGGGAATACGTTTTTTGTGCACGTTTCACATATTCCAGGCATTTTGGAGATGGTTGTATAATTCAAAACATCGTATAAATAAAGATGATCAAACGCCTATTATAAAAATGATGAAAAAAATTATTTACGCATTAACAGAACTGGAGATGGATAACCATTATCAAGAGCTTAACCATAATTTTTTTGATCATATAAGGATATTTCAAAATTTTTTGTGCGCATGCTGCACATCCTTTCTAAAAAAGGTGTGCGCAAAATTCTGATCATGTGCGCTGCGCACATGCCGCACAGTGAAAAATAAATACCGAGTGAGATTATTCAAGAAAAATTTAAGACAAGAATATACTGACTGGATCTTTATAATGCCATCAGTAAATTTCGATGCAAATCAACACCAGGTAAAGAAGATATGGGAATGTTATTAAAAAGGCTTTATGATGAAAAAACTGAGGATCCATGATGGATAATTTCAATGAAATTTGATCCAATTACTTCTTCATTAACCCATCTTTTTTGGATGAATCCTGAGCAACAGATTTTGTGATTGCAATATCATGACGTGATAATGCATGATAACACTTACAAAACTAACTGATATAATCGCCCATTGTCTCTTTTTATTACTCCAAACAATAATTTAAAGACACAAATTGTAGCACAAGCAATTGTTGATGATGAAACACAACTTTCCTACGAATGGGTTTTTCAATGTGTAAAAGAAGTAACTGGTATGTTACCAAAGGTTTTTGTAACTGATGGTGATCCTGCAATTAATGCTGTGGTAACAATACAATTTCTGAACACTTTTCACATGCATTGCATTTGGCATATAAGCCAAAACTTACCGAAGCAATTAAAAGGAAAGCTAAGTTCTAATTTTGATGATTTTATGAAGGATTTCTATAAAGCAAGAAATAGTTTAAGGGAAGAACAATTTAACGAAAAGTATTTGAATTATAGTATATAAATTTTATACAATTTGAAGTAATGGAATTATTATTTCTACTGACTTCAAAATTCTGATATTCAATTATATAATATTTTGTAAAATTCTATAAAAATTTTCTCTTGTATTTAAAGATTAATTATTATCTATTATTCTATTAATTAATTTTACTTATTTGTGTATTTTATTTCACTTATTATTTTACGATTATTGTTTAATTATTTGTATTTAGTATTTACATTACACTATAAATATATTTACAAGATTTCATCTATTGTTTATTCATTGTATTTACTTTTATTATATTTATTAACAATACATAGATGGAATGCATTATTGCAGAATTATCTACAATCTAAGGACTATTTAACGAAAGTTTTAGGATGTAATCCACAATCTTGGGCGCGCACGTTTACAAATAGATATTTTACTGCTAGTATACAAACAACTTCTCGTAATGAGGGCGAAAATTCTACATTAAAATGGCTTTTTGGAGATTCAAATACATGTCCTTTTTATAATGCGCAATTATTAATTGATTTTATTGGATATGTGACATTATTCAATACATTTAAAGCAAGTACTTATAAAGCAAATATTACATTTAAGGCAATTGATTGCTTTGAGCAAGTAAATACTGACTATTTGTAAAGAAAATATTAAGGAATTCTGTGTATAAGCAACTGCTCTGGATCAGAATTTGATTATAATTTTCTAAATAAAATAAAATGTTCTAATATCACCAACTTTTATATTACGCAGTTTTGTTGTTCTCTTCTTATATTCTTTAATTACCTCCTTAACACCTTTCCTTCAATTGACCTGTATAATGCAAAAAATTAAGCATGTCCTCCAGATATTTCATTTGAACCGGAAATATTTTGGGATCGAGTATCTTGACTACTATATTTACTGTTAACAATCCTGTTACAGGCTTGGATTCCTTTGGCGGGAGCAGGAACATGCCTTGCCTGCCTGGTATTTAGATTGTCCTTCCAGGAATTCTTGTTAGTAATTCCTCCATTAAAACATTTACTTCCTTCGTTAATGTATGTTCGTCTTCCGGCTCCTTAAAAAATTGCTAAATCGCTTAATTTTTGCTTTGTTGGTTAAAATAAAATCAGTAAACTTACTTTTTGATTTTGAGTGAGCAACTCTTCCAGCTCTCTCAGCATTAACTGACTCGTCTCCGGTTTCTAAAAAAAATGTTTAAACTTGGTTTGTTAATCAAAATTATTAGAACATAAAATCGGTAGACTTACTTTCTGTAATTCCATGATACTCTTTAAACGCTAAAACCTCATCATGTTCCTCAAAGGGTTCTCCGTCTGCGATCCATTGTTTTATTGCAGCTATATTGAAAGAAGCTATCATTTCCTCTTTTGCTTTTCTAAGTAACCTTGACTCTGTTGACTCTGTTGATTTAGTTGATTTAGTTTCCATGATGAAAAATTTTTTCGTTGTAGGAATGAGGATAAAATATAGAAGGAAATGATTAAATATGTAATCACGTAGACACATTATATAGTGATGAAAGAGTAAATCACGTGTAAGATCTCGTATCGATTACATAATCAAGACCATTCAGAGACATCACGTGGCCACAGATTTTGCTTCCACAAGATAATAGTGATGAAATAATCTTCCCCAGTATCGCCAGAAAATTTTTTCACCCCACGTGACTTATGTGACGTGATCAGTTTTACTATTTTATTATTTGTTTACTCATAATATCCTCCACACTCACTCTTTCCACTACCTTTCCACCACTCTTTTTTCACTATTAAAACTTTGTAAAACTTTGACTATTCGCAGTTTTTAAACATTTTAACTAACAATATTAACTTTAATATGCTTTTTTATAACTTTTTTAATAAAAGTCTCAGAATACATATTTGTTTTTTATTTATTAACTTCAAAGTGTATTTTAAACATTTTAGTCAAAGATAATTGATATTCATTATTAATTAAAAGTTATTTATGGGTCTAAAACTATTTGAATATTAATTTTCATGAAGGTACAGCCAGTCCGTCTGGAGTTATTCACATTTTTTATAATGATACTAACTTGCAAATTTTATTTTTTCTGTTGCATAAATTTAGAGTGTATTTTAAGCACTTTGATCAAAGAAAATCGACCTTCATTATTAATTGAAAGTTGTTCAGCGGGTCTGAAACTACTTGTATATCAATTTTCATAAAGGTACAATCAGTCTGCCTGGAGTTATTTACATTTTTCATAACAATACTAACACGCGGATTTTTATTTTCTAACTTTAGAGCATAATTTGAACACTTTAGTCAAAGGAAATTGACATTTATTATTAATTGAAAGTTGTTCAAAGGATCTAAAACTACTTGCATATCAATTTTCACAAAGGTATAGTCAGCCTATCTGGAGTTATTCGCATTTTTCATAACAACACTAACTAGGAATTTTCTTTTTTTTTATTTCCTATCTTTAGAGTGAAATTTGAGCACTTTAGACAAAGGAAATCGACCTCTATTATTAATTGAAAGTTGTTCAGAGGGGCTGAAACTACTTGCATCTCAATTTTCATAAAGATACAATTAATCTATCTGGAGTTATTCTTTATTTTGTAATATTTTAAACACGCGAAATGTTTTGTTTTTTTCACTTTGGTCAATTAACTTTGCTGAAACTTGGAGTTTACAATCGATATTGATTAGATAT